TTTAGACATGCAGAAAAGGCAAATGTTATTCATGTATGATTCTATATAGAGTATAAAATGTTGTGTGTTGAAATACATTTTTTTGATTGTTCTTCTAGCTTACTAGTACTGAACAATTTACTGTCATGCTCACTAATTCATGCTTCCACTAATTCAAAACTAGTCCTTTGCCCTTTCAATGTATTCTCCATTTCTGAAATCTTGTTAATTTTCTGGATTTCTCTCTGTGGGTTTTGTAGTATCTCTCATCCTTTATCTCTTTTGTTTGATTGTTCTTGTGGTGCTTTCCTGAATTCTACCTTGTTTTCCTCTACCTTTCTTTCAATCCTTTGGATGTACCTAAATATCATTCTTTTGAATTATTTTTCAGGTAGTTCCAATGTCTTTTTTTTTTAATCAAAAATGTTTTCTAGCTCTGCCTCTTGGTCACTTGTCTGAGCCACTTTGTCTTGCTTCTTTGTGTGAAGGGAAAGTATCTACTACTTTCAGGATACTGTGATGTTGTTGCATTTGTATTAAGTTGATGACTGTATGTTGGTATAGTCTTAGGCACTCTCCAACTGCCTCCTGGTGGGTTTGGTCAGGATGATCTTGTGCACCATTCTCTGTTTGCTGTTCATGCAGTTCAATTTAGGATGGGTTTGGCTGTTGTTGGTCATTGCAATTGATTCAGTGCTATGTTGTTGTTGTTGTTAAGTGCTGTTGAGTCAGTTCTGAGTCTTAGAGACCCTATCCAGGGTTTCTGAGGAGAAGCAGCTGGTAGGTTTGAACTGCCAATCTTGTGGTTCACAGTTCAATGCTGATTCTACAATGCCACACCATGAGCAGCTGGTATTGGTTCTTTTTCAAAGGGTTGGGTTATAAAGGGTACAGTTGTGGCTGGACTGTGTGGCTGCAGTTGCTGTCTCCTGTCAAGCAAGGCAAGGAGAGAAAACACACACACAACAAACACAAACCAGCAAACAACAGCAAAAAAAGAAAATAGTAAAAAAATGAAAAAAGGAGACAACAGCTAACAAAACAATACAAAAACTACAGAGGGAAAATAAAATAATAAAAAAAGAAAAACAAAAGAAAGAAAATAAAAAGAAGAAAAAAGCCTTAAACACAGTTAGGGAACAGAATGAGTAAAAAGGAAAGAGACCAGAGAGTAATAACAACAACATAATAGTACTAATACTAATTAATTAATTAAGAGAGATTAAAAAAATAAGAAAGAAAGAAACACTAGCAGTTGGGAAAGAAAATAATAATTAAAAAAAAAGAATAAAAAAATGAAAGGGGAGACAGAAAGAAGAGAAAGTGAGACAAAACTAAGGGAAAAAGAGTAAAAAAACGAAAGCAATGAAAGAGAAAACAAAAACAAACAAACAACAAAGCAAAACAGGGCAGGTGTCAGACCCAGAGAGGAGAGAATTCTGGGGTCTCCTGATCACCACAGGCCTCACGTCATGGGTGGGTTAGGGATGGGATGGTAACACTCAACCCTAGATGGGGTTCCTTAAGGGCTAGATGTTGTCTGTTCTGGGCACCCAATTGGAAAGTAGTTCGTGCAGACCCCAAAGCAGCTAGAGTATCAGGGTCTTTCCATCCCAAAGAGGAGCCAAGGGTAAGAGGTCCCTCTAGTCCAGGGCTGACCAGAACCAGTTCTGCAGTTCTGGAACAGGCCACACCTGATGCCAGGTGCCAGGATTGGTGCTGCTAGCTCCTCACACACTTTAATGCAACTTTCACAGCCCAGAGAGCAGGAGCTTCCCTGGGAATGTACGTGATGGGGATTAGCCACACCTCTTTGTCTCTGTGAGTTACAGGTATGTTTCTGCAATGCCGATAGCTTTTCTTGTCTCAGAAGCTGCCCACAAAAGCTCAAGGTGACTGTGCCTGTCTGGTTGCTGGTTCATATCACCATTCTCTCCTTATTTTGCCATATCTGCTCAGCTCTCTCTCCTAGTAAGCATTCAAGCTACTTCTCTATCTCTTCATCTGAAGCTCCCAGTTCCAGAGCTATTATCTGCTCTGTTTTGTTTGGTTATCTTTATCTATGTTGTAGATGGTCCCACAGCCTTTCTGTCTAGTCCACCGCCTCGCTGCCTCCTCCCTACACCAATGTTTTTTATAACACATTTCACAGTAGCCAAAAGATGGAGACAATAGAAATGTCCATAAAGACATGAATGGTAAAAGAAAATGTGATATATCTATGTTGTTGTTAAGTGCTGTGGACTTGATTCTGACTTATAGAGACCTTGTAAAGGGTTTCAGATGCTGTAAATCTTTGTGGGGGCAGAAAGCCTCATCCTTCTCCCACAGAGCAGTTGGTGGGCTCAAACCACTGACCTTGTGGTTACCAATCCAGCGCTCATTGTAGCTCACTGTAGGATAAGCACTGGACTGCTAACCAGAAGATTGGCAGTTCAAACCCACCAGTTGCTCCTTGGAAACTCGATATAGCGTCGCTATGAGTCAAAACTTACTCAATGGCACTGAACAACAATAACAAATCCCCGTGGTGGTAGAGCTGTGGCTCTGTAGGATAAGCACTAGACTGCTAGCCACAAGATCAGTGATTTGAGCCCACCAGCTGCTCCAAAGGAGAAAGATGAGGTTTTCTGCTCTTGCAAAGATTTACCACCTCAGAAACCTATACAGGATTATTTGTTATGAGTCAGAACCAACTCAATGACACTTAACAACAACTACTCTTGTAGCCACTAAAAATCTTTAAGTTCTATATCTTTACTTATTTTATATAAATGAGATTGTACAATATTTGTCCTTTTGTGACTGACTTATTTTGCTCAGCATGATGTTTTCAGGGTTCATCCATATGTGGCATATGTAAATACT